GCAGTGAACACAGACTTTCAACTCCCTCCACAGATTTTCAATGGGGTTGAGCTCTGGAGACTGGCTAGGCCACTCCAGGACTTTCAAATGCTTCTTACGAAGCCACTCCTTCGTTGCCCGGGCGGTGTGTTTGGGATCATTGTTATGCTGGAAGACCCAGCCACGTTTCATCTTCAAAGCTCTCACTGATGGAAGGAGGTTTTGGCTCAAAATCTCACGATACATGGCCCCATTCATTCTTTCCTCAACACGGATCAGTCGTCCTGTCCCCTTAGCAGAAAAACAGCCATCAAAGCATGACGTTTCCACCCCCATGCTTCACAGTAGGTATGGTGTTCTTGGGACGCATCTCAGTATCCAAACACGACGAGTTTATACCAAACAGTTCTACTTTGGTTTCATCTGACCACATGACATTCTCCCAATCCTCTGCTGTATCATCCATGTGCTCTCTGGCAAACTTCAGACGGGCCTGGACATGCACTGGCTTCAGCAGGGGGACACGTCTGGCACTGCAGGATTTGATTCCCTGTCGTCGTAGTGTGTTACTGACAGTGTTGTGCCAGTTCACAGCTTTTCTGAACTAGTTCAAGTTCAGTTCATCCATGCTCAAAGTGAACAGTTCACGTTCAAAGTTCACATTTTTAATTCTGAACTAGTTCAAAGTTCAGTTCATTTTACTTTTTTTGTGAGATACTTACAAAACAGACTAGATTTACATGGTTTTCAATGGGAGCAAAACGGAGTTGCTCCATCTCTGCTCATAAACTACAGACAGTAATGCGCTGCAGTGCTGTGTCTATACTTTATGTCAAATGTAAACGGTGTAAACTTTGTCGCTAACTCACCTTGTGTTTTCATCACGACTCGGGCACATGTGAAAAGCACCAGCTCACAGCGCCGCACCGCAACACAGAGTCGGGGTGCGTTTACAGACGGTGGAAACCGTAGGAATTTTTAGATTTCGGCGGAAAAAGTTTCAAAAGAGAAAACAGATTCCAACGTTCATAGTGATGTCTGCCGTTCATGACACATAAAATGAACTAATTCGGGTTCAAGTTCTTTTTTTTTAAATGTGTTGCGTTCAGTTCAACGTTCACGAAAAAATTAGCGTGTTCAATGAACGCGTTCTTTTGAACTCGTTCACGCACAACAATGGTTACTGATGGTAACCTTTGTTACTTTGGTCCCAGCTCTCTGCAGGTCATTCACCAGGTCCCCCCGTGTGGTTCTGGGATTTTTGATCACCGTTCTCATGATCCTTTTGACCCCACGGGATGAGATCTTGCGTGGAGCCCCAGATCGAGGGGGATTATCAGTGGTTGAAATATCGTTTTTGGCTACATTTGGGCTATCTTTTATACAGATAAGCTTAGTTCAAACAGGTGCCATTAATACAGGTAACGAGTGGAGGACAGAAGAGCTTCTTAAAGAAGAAGTTACAGGTCTGTGAGAGCCAGAGATCTTCCTTATTTGAAGTGACCAAATACTTATTTTCCACCATAATTTACAAATAGATTCTTTAAAAATCCTACAATGTGAATTCCTGGATTATTTTTTCACATTCTGTCTCTCACAGTTGAAGTGAACCTATGATGAAAATTAAAGACCTCTGTCATTATTTTAAGTGGGAGAACTGGCACAATCGGTGGCTGACTAAATACTTTTTTGCCCCACTGTATGTCTGTATGTATGTCTGTGTACTGTATGTATGTGTACTGTACTGTATGTATGTGTACTGCATGTCCTTCACATATTAGCTGCATGTGTTCTTTGCAATTCTACAGCTTTGTGCAACAAAAATACAGTCACATACATGTATTTACATAGAGCAAACATACAGAATATCATTATGGTATCATAACATAACACACACTTCCTCATGAGTGAAGCTGAAATTCACCTGAGAGAAATTGTTCAATTTAGGAAAGATTTACAGGAAAAAAGATAAAGGAATGTATGAACTTAACTTGACAGATTTTGGATTTTGAGAACTAGTCATACGTATGTTTCATTCTGACTGACAGGACAGAAGCAAATGATTATGTTAAAAAACAGCAGAGAATTGTATGAAAGTAACTGATACATGAACAAAAACATTTGTAAAGTGTTCATAGGAAACTGCCACGATGATGTCACACATGACCCAATGTTGTGGAAGTTGAACTAATAGTTTTGAGAAGTTTAAGTCTGAGAAATGCACCAAAGCCACTGAGAAAAACTGTAATATAGTAAGTAAGTAAGTAATATTGATTTATTTAAGGCGACACGGTGGTTGAGTGGATAGGCCTCTCAGCAAGAAGGTCCTGGGTTCAAATCCCGGTCGGAACAGGGCCTTTCTGAGTGGAGTTTGCATTTTCTCCCCGTGTCTGCGCAAGTTTCCTCCGGGTACTCCAGTTTCCCTACCTCTAAAAACATGTGCAATAGTTCAGGGTGAATGAGTGTGTGTTTGTGACTGCGAATGTGGGACAACGGATGGAAATTAGCCCAACGCTACAATCCAGAGTGATGTGTCCGTGAACATGTACTGTCCCAACCAAATAAACAATACATAAATAAATACTGTAAATGTATATAGCGACAGAGTCACAAAGCGCTTTACGATTGTGGGCATTTGTCTCTCTTTGAGAGAGAGGTCGCCAGCACAAGAGACGCATGCCAAACCTATTGCACATGTTTTTAGTGGTAGGGGAAACCGGAGCACCTGGAGGAAACCTACGCAGACACTGGGAGAACATGCAAACTCCCCTCAGAAAGGCCCTGGTCCGACAGCGATTCGAACTGAACCCAGGACCTTCTTGCTGAGAAGCGAGAGTGCTATCCGTTCCGCCACCGTGCCGCCCATAGTTTTAGTTTTGTCATGGTGTGGATTTTGTTATTTTGGACTTTAGTTTTATTTTGAAATCTGTTCTCTGTGCTTTGGTTTTAGTTTGACTTTGACGCCCTGTTTCCTCTGTCTTGATTGTCTGCCCCGCCCTAATGTGTTGCACCTGTGTCTGTCTATATGTAACCTGTGCTCCTCCTCTTGTTGCTGGTCCATTGTATTGTCAACGTCTTGTCTTTGTCTGTTCCTGTTTCCTTGATTTCTTTTTGAGCCTTTGGATTACCTGGAATTTTATTTTATTATCATTAAATAATATTTTTTGGCATTCCTGCATTTTGGGTCCTTCCTGCATTTCCACCACGTGACAAGTTTTAGAATGTTAAAACTCTCTATGAAATACTTGTTATGTTCTGTCTATGTTGAAGACAGTTCTTGAATGAGGAGAAACAGCTGGAGTGAAATGACACGTTCCCAGCTACAGACAAAAGAGTGTGAGAGGCGTTATGGAGAGGTGCTGGAAAGACCGAAATAGAGACGTGACATCACAATCACAGAAGGATAATTAACCACAAAGTAACTCATGAAACATTGAGGATTGGAGAATGTCTGAGAGGATTTGAATAGGACCAAACCTGGACTAAATTACGGATCAAACACATTGTGGATGATATGGAGATTGACTTTAAGATGGTTCAGATTACTGGGAAGACTGTGAACAACTGTAATTGAATATATGATTATAGAACTTTCCATACAGAGCAAGAATATGTTCAAGGTGATGGATAGACAAGCTGGCGCCCCCTAGTGCCTAAGCTCAGTGTAACGTCACAACAGCTACATCCAGAAGTACAATCTGTCAATCCATGGCCATTTTTAGTTCAACAAAGCCGTAAAAGCAGCGGTGGAGGTAGATGTCGACCAAAAAAAACACGTTAATCAGAGCAGAAAGACACAATTTCCTGCTTCTTACAGACATCACGACCAAACAGCTGCGATTGGTTCAAGAAAAAAGGTTTCCAGACGGTTTGCAAGAAATACCATGAAAGCGTCAGGCTGTGGACTCTCAGCAGGAACCTACTTCACGTATCTGGAAGTTGAACTTGTGCTGATCCCAATACTCAAAGACAGTAGTGTGGTCCCTGAGTATTGTGGGGGTTTCGTTCTAAAAATAACCTGCAATAAGAAAATACCTTGAAGTAGCAGTTCAAAGATTTGCTGAAGTGCGATCGTGGAAATATCAAACATGTTCGTTGTAGGTCTGCGAGCTGCTGCAGCTGTCAAAAGTACACAGGCCACACACGGTTTCTGCTGATTTTAAATGAAGATGACTGTCATTTTGTATTAGCGGTTATATGATTGACAGATAGACAGATAAGTAGATAGATACAGAGATAGATATGGATAGATAGATAGATACAGACAGACAGACAGACAGATAGATGATAGACAGACAGACAGACAGATAGATAGATACATAGATAGATAGATAGATACATAGATAGATAGATAGATAGATACATAGATGGATAGATGATAGATAGATAGATAGATGATAGATAGATGATAGATAGACATGTAGATAGATAGACAGATAGATGATAGATAGATAGATAGATAGATAGATAGATAGATGGATAGATGATAGATAGATAGATGATAGATAGATAGACATGTAGATAGATCACATCCGTCCTCACAAACACATAATTCAAATAATAAAATAATTTCACTCAATTCAACTCACTAAGTAGCTAACTGTTGGAGCTAATTGTTTATTTTTGGATTCTACCGATGATCTACTTTAGCTAGTTACTTAGCTAAGTTTGCTAAGATAATTTTGTGTTAATGATTGCTATGGTCGGAGGGCGCAGCGTAGAGGCGTTTTGGGCATATGTTTTTTTTACCAGCGTTCGGACATTTTGTTTTCACTACCCTGCGTAAAGCCAACCTGAAAATGCCTGAGTGGCCTTTTGCTTTGTTTTGGTTTAAGTTGTGGACAAATCGCCACTACACACACAATAGTGCATGTATTCAACTCAGACAGATCTGTAGTACAGTCTTATAGCCAGAAAAACAAAGTGATAGAAGCAGGAATGATTCTAGAAAGATTACCCAACGCAACGCCAACAAAACAACAGCAAAACAAATCCATGCAAAAACCAAGCCTTCCACTCACCTTGAAAAGTCTGAGGATGTTGGCGACCATGATGGACACGGAGCTCGCCGAAGCCCCGATCACTCCGACCACCTTGTCCGGTTTGGCGAAGATCGGTGCTTCCCCGTTGGCGCACCGCACGTCAGACCCGTCCCGTTCGATGAGGGCCTGCACGAAGGTGAGAGACTGCTCCAGGGCGTACGTGTCCCGGGAACAGGTGTCCAGAATCCTAGCCCCTAGCGTCACGTTGGGCAAGAGCTCTGGATCTTTGTTGATTAAGTCGATGGCGAACAGCATGGCCTCCAGTCGGTGTATGCCCTTTTCCTTTTTCAGTTCGCCACAGGGCAGGCCTCTCTCGCCGCGGGAATGCACGGGGAAAAGGCCACCCAGGATAACGTCTCCGTCTATTCGAATGGAGTGGGCGAACTCTGGGGAGGAGGAGGAGGAGGAGGAGGGCTGGTCTGTGGAGGAGCCGGGTTTGGGAGACGTGCGGCAGAACAGGCAGCAGCTTCCAAAAATGAGGAAGGAGAAGAGATCGGGAATCCAGCTGGACCCCATTTTGTGGAGGGTGGGCTCAGGTGGACAGGGTGGTCACGAGGAGGTCCAGAGGAAGCGAGCGCTGACGTCGAAACATGCCAAAAAAAAGGTACGTTCCACCGATAAACGGATGTCCCATGTGTGTCCGGGAGAAGGGCAGGGGCCGGATGGGAGACGGGTCAGAAATCACATGGCACTAGGACCCTGAAGCACAAAACAGGAACTAGAATTACATTTATGTCATTGCACTTGGATCTGAGACAAGAGGCTGATATTACTCATTAATGTTTGGATTTTAAATACATTTCTGAAAGTGCTGGAACTCCCAAAGCCGTCATTTTGACTGCTCACATTCAAACCTATGTAATTTTGTGAAATTCAAGTGGTTTGTTTTCGTAAGTGGTTTTGTGTACCGACCCTGGACCTGTCCATTTCATAAAGGTAATAACATAGAAATAAAAAAAGAAACAGAATTAGTAAGACCACAAATGTATATGAGTAATTACACTTCCAAAACTAAAAGCCGTCAAATTTACTGTTCTTGGAGGAAGTCGTGTTCAAGAAGAAATGTTATGTATTGTTATAATTAAAAAATCATGAGACTGGTTACTTTATCACAGACTCTTCAGCCTTCTGCCCTCTGGACGCTGCTAAAGGAGACTCTGGACCAGGGCAGAGACAGAACCAGGACCAGGGCCAAGGTCAGGATCAAGGCATAGATAGAAGAAAAGACATGAAGTGTGCAAACATGTTAAAGATTAAAAAGTATGGTCAGTGCAGGTTATATTATGTACAATAAACGTGGCTATAGCAGTGCTGGTATTTCAGTCCTAGTGCAGGTAATTAAAGACTTAAAGTGACTTATTGTACAGTCTGACAGCGGTGGGGATAAAGGCCTTGCGGTAGCGCTCCTTCCTACACTGAGGGTGTCTCAGTCTTCCACTGAAGGAGCTCCTCAGCTCCTCTACAGTCCTGTGCAGTGGGAGGTGTTGTCCATGATGGAGGTGACTTTAGCACCCTCCTGTCCCTCACCTCCTCCACAGAGTCCAGGCTCAGGACCAGGACAGTACCTGACCAGGACCAGGACCAGGGCCCAAAACTAAAACTCAAATCAAACCATCTACACCTTATCACATGTATTTATTTAAAATCTTTATACCAACCTATTTGTAAAATAATATATATAAATATATATATATATATATATATATATATATATATATATATATATATATATATATATATATATGAAAAATAAAAAAATATAGGTTGGACAAGTCTTCTCTCTGACCAGTACGAGTCAGGTTTGTGGAGATGCAGCTCGCTCACAGTTCAGACACATGTAGTAGTAGTAGTAGTAATCTTTATTTATATACCGCCTTTTCACTGCACATCGGAGTCTCAAAGCGGTTTACAATTCTTATTTTTGGGAGTGGGGGTGCCAGTACAGGAGGCTGTATGCCAGACCTATTGTACATATTTTTAGTGGTAGGGGAAACCGGAGCACCCGGAGGAAACCTACGCAGACACGGGGAGAACATGCAAACTCCACTCAGAAAGGCCCTGGTCCAACCGGGATTCGAACCCAGTACCTTCTTGCTGAGAGGCGAGAGTGCTATCCACTCAGCCACCGTGCCGCCCAAAAAACGTGTGTTTCTACTTTCTTCTGTGAGAAGTGAGCCCTGAGCCACTCTCTCTGCACCGACATGAAACAGACTGAAGAGACGATGGGACCAATGAGAGCCAGTCCCACGAGACAAGACTGTACGGCTTTGTGTGCTCCGGCGGGAGAAGAGCAGTGAACCCCCCCCCCCCACCCCCACCAACCCCCCATACCCCCCCCCCCCCAGGTGAGTGTGGACAGAGGCACAACAACAGCTGTGGACAAAGCATTAAAGACTTTTTTTTTGCATCAAAATGTTGTGTGATCATTTGAATTCTATCCACTTGATAATGATGCAGTTTCTTAATTACTGTATGTTAATGTTTGTGTTGCATTTTTCATATCCCCTGAACTGATTTTCAATGTGTATGACTCACTTGCAGCATAGATGGTACAAAGAACATCTGTGACATGTTAGTGCCATGTGAACCACCTGGGACTCTGAGGAGCACAGGGACAGGCCTCCTGCTGGGACTCTGAGGAGCACAGGGACAGGCCTCCTGCTGGGACTCTGAGGAGCACATGGACTGGCCTCCTGCTGGGACTCTGAGGAGCACAGGGACTGGTCTCCTGCTGGGACTCTGAGGAGCACAGGGACTGGCCTCCTGCTGGGACTCTGAGGAGCACAGGGACTGGTCTCCTGCTGGGACTTTGAGGAGCACAGGGACAGGCCTCCTGCTGGGACTCTGAGGAGCACAGGGACTGGCCTCCTGCTGGGACTCTGAGGAGCATAGGGACTGGTCTCCTGCTGGGACTCTGAGGAGCACAGGGACTGGTCTCCTGCTGGGACTTTGAGGAGCACAGGGACTGGCCTCTTGCTGGTCCCAGAATCAGGACTAAACATAGGGAGGCAGATTTATGCAGCTAAAATCTTTCTGCGTGAAGTTTGCATGTTCTCAAATTGCTTTCTTAATGTAAACAAATACATTTCTGTTTTCACCATAACTTTCGCTGGAAAAAACAGTGTAATAGTTTTGGCCCCTGACCAGACAGAAGCTATTACTTTTAGAAATCGACCCCCCAAAAATGAACTTGACATCCAGTCATAGATCCACAAGATCAGGTTCATGAGCTGAAAAACAACAGATATATGTGGATCTGAATGATGCTCTGTCTGAAAAGGTTGAATTGAAATATGTATGTGACGTATACAGTCTGATATTGGAGCTGCGTATATGCATGTACACACACACGCACGCACACACACACACACACACACACACACACACACACACAAGCGTACACAAGCGCATACATAGACACACACACACACACATACATACATACATACATACACACATACATACACACATACATACACTTATATACACACACACACAGGGGCCCACACGCGCACACACAAGACACACACGCACACACAGTCAGGAGCACAAACCAATACGCAAACACACACACACACACACACACACACTGACCTGCTCAGTTTGACCACACGTGTCCCGCTCTCCCTGGGACAACTCTGATGGTACGCGCAGGTCCTCAGTCCGGGCTCCAGGTGTTCTTCAAACCCGCACAAACTGTACTCTTCCACGCGGGGACCTGGTCTGGTCTGGTCTGGTCTGGTCCCACTCCAGCTCTCACTGCATCCAAACATCCACAGCAGACTTAAACTTCCAGAAGTGGTGTTGTGAAAAGTCAGGCGTCATTTGGACCAGCTCTGCTCTCGTCGCTCCATCACTTCGCTCCAAACCGGGGACTTCTGCGTGTTCTCTCTCTTTCTTCCGGGATCACAGGTGTCACGCGCTGTACAGGGGCCCCCGCGGGTTAATCAGCACAGAGAGTCAGAGTGTGGTCCATGCTGGGGCCCGTGAGAGAGCAGATCCATGTGTGCGCCCTAACGCAGCAGACTGAGGGCACTACAGCTCCATCAGCAGCGGCTCAGCATCCCCATCCCCGCGCGTCACAGAGTCTGCTCCACCGCGAGGGCCCGTGGACTGATGGCGCCCTCTAGTGACCAGCTCCGGTATTACCCTCAGAGTAAGAGTCTCCAACCTTTTCCTCCCAGAGAGCTACTTTCTCCAAACAAAAATGGCCTGAGTGCTACTTCTTGACGCCATCCTGTAGATATATTTGTGAGAGCGAGCTTTAGTTAGGTATTTCAAAACCTGCACAACACAAGGCACAAATATCAATGATCAATGTTGTGGCAATTGTTGAGTGTCTTGCCACTGTTTAGCTTGACGTGTGCTCTTGAAAAAAAATAAACAGATTGAAGGTCCAGACTTACGGAATAACTGAGAAATGTGGTTTTAATGGAGGCAGTTTTAATTCCACATCCAATGCCGTTTTCCACAAAATTGCACAGTCAAAAATGAGACGTCCACAGATTACTGAATTACTGGACTGAGGTGTTTACAATAATGTCGGGGGCAGTGGGTAAAAAGATTGACCCAAACCCATTTACTGCTCTCTTTGACATCCAACCAACAGTCATCAATACCTTTTATGAGTCTTCTTGCTCGTAGATTAATATTGCTCAAGTGGAAAAGCCCAACATCACCATCTTATATTCACTGGGTTAGACATGTATTGTCTTTCCTCAAATTGTAAAAGATCCGTTTCATTGTAAGAGATTCTATTGATACATTTTCTGAAATTTGGAGCCCTTTGTTTTCTTTGCTGAAAGATCTAGATTTTCCTTTCGTGCCAGACTGATTTCCAATTTATTTGTATACTTTTGGCTGCCACTGACATGCTGAATGTGGATAAATGTGCCTAAAACTATAAATAAAGTACACCAAAAAAAAAAGTCCTTTCTGAGACGACTGCTGTTGTGATTTAGGGCTATAAACAAATAAATTGAATAATATCGCGATCAGTCTGAATACTCGCTGTGGGGAAGAGGTGGCATCTCCTGTTCCCCCGCCCTCAGCCCGCCCTCAGCCCGCCGTCAGCCCGCCCTCAGCCCTGCCCTCAGCCCGCCCTCAGCCCGCCCTCAGCCCGCCCTCAGCCCGCCCTCAGCCCGCCCTCAGCCCGCCCTCAGCCCGCCCGCCCTCAGCCCGCCCTCAGCCCGCCCTCAGCCCGCCCTCAGCCCGCCCTCAGCCCGCCCTCAGCCCGCCCTCAGCCCGCCCTCAGCCTGCCCTCAGCCCGCCCTCAGCCCGCCCTCAGCCTGCCCTCAGCCCGCCCTCAGCCCGCCCTCTGACCGCCCTCAGCCCGCCCTCAGCCCGCCCTCTGACCGCCCTCAGCCCGCCCTCAGCCTGCCCTCAGCCCGCCCTCAGCCCGCCCTCAGCCTGCCCTCAGCCCGCCCTCAGCCCGCCCTCAGCCCGCCCTCAGCCCGCCCTCAGCCCGCCCTCAGCCTGCCTCAGCCCGCCCTCAGCCTGCCCTCAGCCCGCCCTCAGCCCGCCCTCAGCCTGCCCTCAGCCCGCCCTCAGCCCGCCCTCGGCCCGCCCTCAGCCCGCCCTCAGCCCACCCTCAGCCCGCCGTCAGCCTGCCCTCAGCCCGCCCTCTGACCGCCCTCAGCTCGCCCTCAGCCCGCCCTCTGACTTCTGTAAAACTGTAACTTTAAGTTTTAATATAACCCAAAAGTTTTCCCTTTCTTTTATATCCTCCCACTGAAAGAAGTCTTCTGTCTCTGAAGCTCCAGGCTCAGCGGGCAGAGAACCTCCTGCCTTCAGCTCCACACTCTCAGACTTTCTCAAATATCACAAAAATTGGCAAGAAAAACATGCCCCGTTGAAATCACACAAAATGCAATGGGCCTCATTTATGAACGCGTTATCCGGAAAAATCAGTGTAAACAGACAAATAATGCTAAGCCGCCTGCTCAACAAAGCCCAATAGGGAAGTGCTCATGGATGAAGTTTTGCTCCAACTCACTCTGGCTCCAATTAAATAAGGGAATTTCTAGGTTGCATGGTGGCAGAGTGGATAGCGCTTTTGTTTCTCAGCAAGAAGGTCCTAAGTTTGTGTCTCGGTCAAAACGGGGCCTTTCTGAGTGAAGTTTGCATGTTCCCCCCGTGTCCGCATTGGTTTCCTCCAGGTGCTCCGGTTTCCTCTACCACTAAAAACATGCAAATATATCAATTTTTTTTTTCCCAGGATGGCGTAAAGAAGTATCTCTCAGCTCTGTGTGCGCGTGTGTGTGTTTCTGTCTCTGTGTGTGTCTGTCCCTGTGGGTCTCTGAGTCTGTGTGTTTTTGCATGCATGTGTCTGTGTGTTTCTGTAGGTATGTATCTCTGTGTGTGTTTCTGTATGCATTCTCCTCCTTCCTCTGGTGGTAGCAGTAGTAGCAATATTTCATCATGAATTTTCCGCTAATAAAAATTTCCATTATTCAAAAACATGAAACGACAAAGTGAAAAGTCTCGATATCATAGTTAATGACAACAACAAAACGTAATATTTGTTTTTATTAGAAAATTCATGCATTTCAGTTAATCAGAAAACAACAATTAACAAGTACAAAAAATTACATTAAAAAATTAAATCTGTTCATAATCAAGGTGCAAAATGATGCAAACTTTCAGTCCTGCGTGAGTCTGATTCCACCCAGAGGTTCAGTGGCAGCGCCTCAGGCTTCTCCCACACCAGGGCTCTCCAACCTCTGTCCAATGGAGAGCTACGTTTACAACACAGAAACGGCAGAGAGCTACTTCCTTGTGTGGTCATAATGAAAATATACAACTAAGCAAACATATACTGTATGATTCATGTATAATTCATCTGTTGATCCTTGCATCTGCAAAACATACACTGTAAAAAGTGATGAAAAATAAGTCTGAAAAAATATATAACCTCGCCCACTCTCCCTGACTGAGGTTGCCAGATATTTAGATATTTGTCAACAACAAATCTATAACACAAAGATAGAAATCCTTATTTTATTCTTAGTTTTGTCGTTAATGATTTGAGAAACACAACGAAATCTTTTTTGTTCTGCGGCCACATGGTACTTTACCAGTGAGATTAGCTTGACACGGTGAGTTCTGGCAACACGGATCACAGACTTTTTGATTGGTGAAACAGTGGAGGGCGGGACATAGAAATGAAAACAATAATATGATTTAGGGGCTGTAAAACTAATACTGAAATTCTAATATCTCTGAACAACTGTTGTCAGTTAAAGAAGTATCGGAAAGGAGCATGTTTTATTAAAGCCTTTTGACAGATTAGGGCCATTTAATGATGACTTGACATGAAAATTAGACATATTGCCATATTGCTAAAGATACATTTTGCCAAATTTGAGCAATTTCTGACTTTTTCTTGTCATCACTTTTTGCAGTGTAAAGTAAACATGTATGTAGATTTAATATGTTTTGAAAATGAAAAAACAAATTAAAATTCCTTAAATTCTTTTGGGGAAAGAGGGTTGTGAGCTACTGGTGGCTCCAAACTACAGGCTGTCTCTGTGTCTCTCTGTCTCTGTGTGTGTCTCTGTCTCCGTACGTGTGTGTGTGTGTGTCTCCGAGTCTGTGTTTCTGTGTCTGTGTGTTTCTTATATTTGATTTTCTCATCTGTGACGGTGAATTCAACAGTTTTTAAAGTCCTGAGATCACTTCTGTCGTGGTTTAGGGCGATACAACATTGAAAACTCGGTCAGAGGTTGGACGTGGTGTTTCTCCGGCCGTACAGATGCTCTTTGAGGAAGGCCAGGGTCTTCCTCCAGGAGTCTTCCTGAGCTCGAGCGTGACCCACGGTCTGACCCCCCCACAGCACCATGCCTGAGACACACACAGAAACACACACAACAAACACATAACTAATACCATTATATGTGTGTGTGTGTTTGTGCACGTGTGTTTCTGTCTTCTTATGCGTGTGTGTCGGTCTCTCCCTCTCTGTGTGTATGTGTATCTGTGTGCACATGTGTGTGTTTCAGTCTGTGTGTGTGTGTTTCTGAGTCTGTGTGTGTTTGTGTGTGTATGTCTCTCTCTCCCTCTCTCTCTCTCTGTATGTGTGTATGGTGTGTGTTTCTGTTACTGTCTGTGTGTGTTTCCGTTTCTGTGTGTGTGTTTATGTTTCTCTGTCTGTGTTAGTTTCTGTCTGTGTGTGTGTGTCTCTGAGTCTGTGTGTGTTTCTGTTTCTGTCTCAGTGTGTGTTTCTCCGAGTCTGCGTGTGTTTCTGTTTCTGTCTCAGTGTGTGTTTCTCCGAGTCTGCGTGTGTTTCTGTTTCTGTCTCAGTGTGTGTTTCTCCGAGTCTGTGTGTGTTTCTGTTTCTGTCATAGTGTGTGTTTCCATCTCTGTCTGTGTGTGTATCTCTGTCTTCGTATGTGTGTGTGCGTCTTACACAGGTCCCCCCTCTGCACGGTCCTGAAGATGCTGGTGCGAGCGTGGGGCACGTACGGCGGCTCGATCAGGTGACCAGCGTCCGGGTACGAGAGCAGAGTGAGCAGGTGGCTGTTCCCCGCCGCCTCCATCATCGCCTTCATCTGACAGACGCACACATCCGGGTCAGCGAGAGCCCACCCAGGGAGAGAGCCCACCCAGGTAAAGAGCCCACCCAGGTAGAGAGCCCACCCAGGTAGAGAGCCCACCCAGGTAGAGAGCCCACCCAGGTAGAGAGCCCCCACCCAGGTAGAGAGACCGCCCAGGTAGAGAGACCACCCAGGGAGAGAGACCGCCCAGGTAGAGAGATCGCCCAGGTAGAGAGACCCCACCCAGGTAGAGAGCCCACCCAGGGAGAGAGCCCACCCAGGGAGAGAGCCCACCCAGGTAGAGAGACCACCCAGGTAGAGAGACCGCCCAGGTAGAGAGACCACCCAGGGAGAGAGCCCACCCAGGTAGAGAGCCCACCCAGGTAGAGAGACCGCCCAGGTAGAGAGACCGCCCAGGTAGAGAGCCCGCCCAGGGAGAGAGACCACCCAGGGAGAGAGCCCACCCAGGGAGAGAGCCCACCCAGGGAGAGAGCCCGCCCAGGTAGAGAGACCGCCCAGGTAGAGAGACCACCCAGGTAGAGAGACCACCCAGGGAGAGAGACCACCCAGGTAGAGAGCCCACCCAGGTAGAGAGCCCATCCAGGGAGAGAGATCACCCAGGTAGAGAGCCCACCCAGGGAGAGAGACCACCCAGGGAGAGAGACCACCCAGGGAGAGAGCCCACCCAGGGAGAGAGCCCACCCAGGGAGAGAGCCCACCCAGGGAGAGAGCCCACCCAGGTAGAGAGACCGCCCAGGTAGAGAGACCGCCCAGGTAGAGAGACCGCCCAGGAAGAGAGACCGCCCAGGTAGAGAGACCGCCCAGGTAGAGAGCCCACCCAGGTAGAGAGCCCACCCAGGGAGAGAGCCCAACCAGGGAGAGAGCCCACCCAGGTAGAGAGACCGCCCAGGGAGAGAGACCGCCCAGGGAGAGAGACCGCCCAGGTAGAGAGCCCACCCAGGGAGAGAGCCCACCCAGGTAGAGAGACCGCCCAGGTAGAGAGCCCACCCAGGGAGAGAGCCCACCCAGGGAGAGAGACCACCCAGGGAGAAAGCCCACCCAGGGAGAGAGCCCACCCAGGGAGAGAGACCGCCCAGGTAGAGAGCCCGCCCAGGTAGAGAGCCCACCCAGGGAGAGAGCCCACCCCGGAGAGAGCCCACCCAGGGAGAGAGACCGCCCAGGTAGAGAGACCACCCAGGGAGAGAGCCCACCCAGGGAGAGAGACCACCCAGGGAGAGGGACCACCCAGGGAGAAAGCCCACCCAGGGAGAGAGCCCACCCAGGGAGAGAGACCGCCCAGGGAGAGAGACCGCCCAGGTAGAGAGCCCACCCAGGGAGAGAGCCCACCCAGGGAGAGAGCCCACCCAGGTAGAGAGACCGCCCAGGTAGAGAGCCCACCCAGGGAGAGAGCCCACCCAGGGAGAGAGACCACCCAGGGAGAAAGCCCACCCAGGGAGAGAGCCCACCCAGGGAGAGAGACCGCCCAGGTAGAGAGCCCGCCCAGGTAGAGAGCCCACCCAGGGAGAGAGCCCACCCAGGGAGAGAGCCCACCCAGGGAGAGAGACCGCCCAGGTAGAGAGACCACCCAGGGAGAGAGCCCACCCAGGGAGAGAGACCACCCAGCGAGAGAGACCACCCAGGGAGAAAGCCCACCCAGGGAGAGAGCCCACCCAGGGAGAGAGACCACCCAGGGAGAAAGCCCACCCAGGGAGAGAGCCCACCCAGGGAGAGAGACCGCCCAGGTAGAGAGCCCGCCCAGGTAGAGAGCCCACCCAGGGAGAGAGCCCACCCAGGGAGAGAGCCCACCCAGGGAGAGAGCCCGCCCAGGTAGAGAGACCGCCCAGGTAGAGAGCCCACCCAGGGAGAGAGCCCACCCAGGGAGAGAGACCACCCAGGGAGAAAGCCCACCCAGGGAGAGAGCCCACCCAGGGAGAGAGACCGCCCAGGTAGAGAGCCCGCCCAGGTAGAGAGCCCACCCAGGGAGAGAGCCCACCCAGGGAGAGAGCCCACCCAGGGAGAGAGACCACCCAGGGAGAGAGCCCACCCAGGGAGAGAGACCACCCAGGGAGAGAGACCACCCAGGGAGAGAGCCCACCCAGGTAGAGAGCCCACCCAGGGAGAGAGACCACCCAGGGAGAGAGACCACCCAGGGAGAGAGACCACCCAGGGAGAGAGACCGCCCAGGGAGAGAGACCGCCCAGGTAGAGAGCCCACCCAGGGAGAGAGATCACCCAGGTAAGATGGTCGCATTTAAGAGTTGACTCAACATTTTGCCAATTAAAGCTGCACTAACACTTGCTGGTGTGAAATTTTTGAATGTGAGCGCTGGCCTTGCTCTTTCTTCTCCCCCTCCCCGCACTCACGGAACTATCGCCCCCCACTACACCCCTCCCACTGAGCCTTGTTTACGGAGCTCACGTCTCACAATATGGATCGAACATTTGAGCGTGGATGGCGTGACCATAGAATGATTGAACCGGGAAGCGCGGAGGAACGAGACTTTCTTTTGGCTGTTTCGCTGAGTAAGCAGTAACCGGTAACGAAGACACAGGAAGTTTCAGGTTAGCCTCCGCCGCTTGTTTACCTCAGCTGTCTGTGCTAACCACAGACCTGTAGCTTTTCACAAGAAAGTGGGGGCCAGTGGTCCGCTGTGATTGGTCACAATCTGGTCCTATACTATACACAGGCTATGACACTGATGAAGCAAGGTTTTGACAGAAATGTCCATATAAGGAAATAGGCTATAGCTAGCTTGTGTTGAAATCGTCCTCTTTCGCATTAAAAGGGACCTAATCTTATTTTGTTCCTATATTGTGGTATTTTTTTGTGTTAAATAAAACTCATTTTGACAGATAGTTTCACCATTAGCAGTTTCTATCAATAATAATCATGCAAAAAGACATTTGCGGAAAAATTGCAGAGACCGGAAGTGACGTACACATAGGTGTCATTGGGCTTTGTTGATATGCATTTGTGCCATAACGTTGTATACGGACGTTTTAAACAGATATTTGTCATTCAGTGATGGACAATACAAGTCAAGGGCTTTTATTTATGAGCCCTTGGTACTTATTATGACAGTAAATCTGATTTTGAGGACTCTGACTCGGTTCAGATGAGGAGAAATCTGACTCGGTTCAGATGAGGAGAAATCTGACTCGGTTCAGATGAGGAGAAATCTGCAAGAAATGGACATTTGCGGACATTAGGGCCGTTTCCACGGGCTGGATTATGGATCTATGGTCCGACCGGGTCCGACCCGTCTTGACCCGGTTTGCGGATGCGGTCAGTTTGAGCTTGATGGTCCACCCGAGTGAGTGTAAATAGCTAAGTGTTAGCGAAGGTAGCGCTAGGGACGAAGAAGTACATCAGGGACATTGCAGAGAAAAGTTTAGAAGCGTAAAAGTGACTACCGTGAAATGAAAGATCCCAACCGTAAAAGCGGACAGAACTGAAAAGTCTGGAGGTGGTTTGACAAGATGGATTGATGCTATTTTTACGGACATCAGCTAACACCAGCTAACAAGCTAACACCAGCTAACACGTCAATACCCGCAACTCAGAAGCCTCAACTCTATGTCCCAGCTCCAGATGTTGAGTTTGAGAGAAATGGTGTCTTCAATCAAATGCAAACATGTAGCGTTATGGTTTTATTCTGAACATGTGTCTGTGGTTCTAAAGTCTTATTCTGAACATGTGTCTGTGGTTCTAAAGTCTTATTCTGAACATGTGTCTGTGGTTCTAAAGTCTTATTCTGAACATGTGTCTGTGGTTCTAAAGTCTTATTCTGAACATGTGTCTGTGGTTCTAAAGTCTTATTCTGAACATGTGTCTGTGGTTCTAAAGTCTTATTCTGAACATGTGTCTGTGGTTCTAAAGTCTTATTCTGAACACGTGTCTGTGGTTCTAAAGTCTTATTCTGAACATGTGTCTGTGGTTCTAAAGTCTTATTCTGAACATGTGTCAGTGGTTCTAAAGTCTTATTCTGAACATGTGTCTGTGGTTCTAAAGTCTTATTCTGAACATGTGTCTGTGGTTCTAAAGTCTTATTCTGAACATGTGTCTGTGGTTCTAAAGTCTTATTCTGAACATGTGTCTGTGGTTCTAAAGTCTTATTCTGAACATGTGTCTGTGGTTCTAAAGTCTTATTCTGAACATGTGTCTGTGGTTCTAAAGTCTTATTCTGAACATGTGTCTGTGGTTCTAAAGTCTTATTCTGAACATGTGTCTGTGGTTCTAAAGTCTTATTCTGAACATGTGTCTGTGGTTCTAAAGTCTTATTCTGAACATGTGTCTGTGGTTCTAAAGTCTTATTCTGAACACGTGTCTGTGGTTCTAAAGTCTAAAACATGATGGTATGTGTCATATCTATATCTTTTACTAAACGTAGTTAGAGTGGAACATGGATTCATGGTTCAATGACAGTTGTGTTTTCTGCTGAATAATGGGTTGAAACTTGTAAAATTGGGTTTAGTTGGAGCTTGATAGAACTAATTTGATGGACCTGGCGCTGGTGTCTTCTCAGTTTGTTTGGACCTTCTCTGAATAAGTCAAAGATCGTAGGGACTGCTGTTTACACTCTTCTTTTTGTTACTTTCATTGCTGCATCCCAGGGCCATACAAAATACACCCATTTTAAGGTTTATTTGTGTCAAAGCGGCAGCAGGAGCAATGCCATAAACAGCGAGGCGAGATCTGCGACCCCTCTAAGTACGTCCTCATTTTTCTGGCCAATCAGAGGCGTTGATATTAAAAGGTTATTTTACTGATTTATTACTTATCTATAACACAAAAACACATTGCAAAGGTGGGAAATACATGCTTTTAATGTGTTTTATCAGAAAAAAAAAAGTTTTTAACAACGTTAAGCCCAACGCACACCGAAACGCCTTGACGCGCGGCAAAAGAGCCGCCTCCTTTATTTTCTATGAGAGAACGCACACCAAGGTTGCAGTGACGCGCGGCGACGCTGGACCGGGCGCCACGATTCAGTTTTGTTGAATCCAGACGCGGCGCCGCGGCTGAAACTGTCCCTCCAAGCACCCGTAGTTTTCTTCTTCTGCGCTTCTTATCACGTAGCTGTGAGCGCGGTCTCAAATTTACACACTTGTCGGCGCTATTGCTCAAGTAAACCGGTCACAATGGACGAGGAAAGCTTGATAACCCAAGTACAGCGTTACCCAGAGCTAGTTATTAGCCTGTTTAAAAATGGGTCCAAATAGTCTTTTCTTGTAATATTTGCCAGCATAATTTCACGTAAATACTTTGTTTCCTCCCCCAAAATATTAGTAGAAACTTCCAAACGTCACTCACCCATTTCATCTGCGATCAGCTGGAAAAGGACGCTAGCCAAGGCGTTCCGGTGTAATTTGACACATGTCATGAACGCGCGTCAAATGACGCGCCGCGAGGCGCTGCGTTTCGGTGTGCGGTGAGCTTTAGTGCCCTTTTAAGGCTAACACTGTGGTGATGTCACACTCTGTCAGTCCACTCCTCACATACAATCTCTGATCAGTGTAAAACTTTTATTCAGTCTAAATGATACTAACAAAAAGAAGCCGCATACTCACATCCAGTGCAGACACGTACGCAGGCCAGTTCTGGTCGTCCTGCCCCACCACGAGCAGCAGGGGGCACTGCACACGCCCCATCTGCCCCAGGGTACACAACAGTTAAAACACACTCACAATCATTGCACAATCACACTTCAGTGTTCGCTGCTGAAACTGAGAGAATGTGTCGATACAATCACTGAGATTTAGACGTTCCGCAGGACTTAGTTTAGCCCTCTCACATGTTTGTGCTTTTGAGGAGTTGTTTTTCTGGTCTCTCTCTCTCTACTCTCTTTCTCTGCTCTTTCTTTCTCTACTCTCTCTCTCTGCCTGCTCTCTCTCTCTCTGGTCAGTCTCTCAGGTTAAGACTGACGTTCCATGACTTATGTGTTTAGCTCTTTCACATGTTTGTGCTATTAAGGATTTATTTTTCTGCAGAACTTCTTCATTTTAATGCTCTCTCCCTCTCTGCTCCCTCTGGTCTCTCTCTCTCTGGTCTCTCTCCCTCTGGTCTCTCTCCCTCTCTCTGGTCTCTCTCTCTCTCTCTCTCTGGTCTCTCTTTCTCTGGTCTCTCTCTCTCTGGTCTCTCTCTCTCTGGTCTCTCTCTCTCTGGTCTCTCTCTCTCTCTGGTCTCTCTCTCTCTCTCTGGTCTCTCTCTCCTCTGGTCTCTCTCTCTCTGGTATCTCTCTCTCTGGTATCTCTCTCTCTGGTATCTCTCTCTCTGGTATCTCTCTCTCTGGTATCTCTCTCTCTGGTATCTCTCTCTCTGGTCTCTCTCTCTCTGGTCTCTCTCTCTCTCTCTGGTCTCTCCCTCTGGTCTCTCCCTCTGGTCTCTCCCTCTGGTCTCTCTCTCTGGTCTCTCTCTCTGGTCTTTCTCTCTGGTCTCTCTCTCTGGTCTCTCTCTCTCTGGTCTCTCTCCCTCTGGTCTCTCTTTCTCTGGTCTCTCTCTCTCTGGTCTCTCTCTCTCTGGTCTCTCTCTCTCTGGTCTCTCTCTCTCTCTGGTCTCTCTCTCTCTCTCTGGTCTCTCGCTCTCTGGTCTCTCTCTCTCTGGTATCTCTCTCTCTGGTATCTCTCTCTCTGGTATCTCTCTCTCTGGTATCTCTCTCTCTGGTATCTCTCTCTCTGGTATCTCTCTCTCTGGTCTCTCTCTCTCTCTCTGGTCTCTCCCTCTGGTCTCTCTCTCTGGTCTCTCTCTCTGGTCTTTCTCTCTGGTCTCTCTCTCTGGTCTCTCTCTCTCTCTCTGGTCTCTCTCTCTCTCTCTCTGGTCTCTCTCTCTCTCTCTGGTCTCTCTCTCTCTCTGGTCTCTCTCTCTCTCTGGTCTCTCTCTCTCTCTGGTCTCTCCCTCTGGTCTCTCCCTCTGGTCTCTCCCTCTGGTCTCTCCCTCTGGTCTCTCCCTCTGGTCTCTCCCTCTGGTCTCTCTCTCTGGTCTCTCTCTCTGGTCTCTCTCTCTGGTCTCTCTCTCTGGTCTCTCTCTGGTCTCTCTCTCTCTGGTCTCTCTCCCTCTGGTCTCTTTCTCTGGTATCTCTCTCTCTGGTCTCTCTCTCTCTGGTCTCTCTCTCTCTCTCTCTGGTCTCTCTCTCTCTCTGGTCTCTCTCTCTCTCTCTGGTCTCTCTCCCTCTGGTCTCTCTTTCTCTGGTCTCTCTCTCTCTGGTCTCTCTCTCTCTGGTCTCTCTCTCTCTCTCTCTGGTCTCTCTCCCTCTGGTCTCTCTCTCTCTGGTATCTCTCTCTCTGGTATCTCTCTCTCTGGTCTCTCTCTCTCTGGTCTCTCTCTCTCTGTCTCTCTCTCTCTCTCTGTCTCTCTCCCTCTGGTCTCTCCCTCTGGTCTCTCCCTCTGGTCTCTCCCTCTGGTCTCTCCCTCTGGTCTCTCTCTCTGGTCTCTCTCTCTGGTCTCTCTCTCTGGTCTCTCTCTCTCTCTGGTCTCTCTCTCTCTCTCTGGTCTCTCTCTCTCTCTCTGGTCTCTCTCTCTGGTCTCTCCTTCTGGTCCTCTCCCTCTGGTCTCTCCCTCTGGTCTCTCCCTCTGGTCTCTCCCTCTGGTCTCTCCCTCTGGTCTCTCCCTCTGGTCTCTCCCTCTGGTCTCTCCTCTGGTCTCTCTCTCTGGTCTCTCTCTCTGGTCTCTCTCTCTGGTCTCTCTCTCTGGTCTCTCTCTCTCTGGTCTCTCTCCCTCTGGTCTCTTTCTCTGGTATCTCTCTCTCTGGTCTCTCTCTCTCTCTGGTCTCTCTCTCTCTCTCTGGTCTCTCTCTCTCTCTGGTCTCTCTCTCTCTCTCTGGTCTCTCTCTCTCTCTCTCTGGTCTCTCTCTCTCTCTCTCTCTGGTCTCTCTCTCTGGTCTTTCTCTCTGGTCTCTCTCTCTGGTCTCTCTCTCTCTCTGGTCTCTCTCTCTCTCTCTCTGGTCTCTCTCTCTCTCTGGTCTCTCTCTCTCTCTGGTCTCTCTCTCTCTCTGGTCTCTCTCTCTCTCTGGTCTCTCCTCTGGTCTCTCCTCTGGTCTCTCCCTCTGGTCTCTCCCCTCTGGTCTCTCCCTCTGGTCTCTCCCTCTGGTCTCTCCCTCTGGTCTCTCTCTCTGGTCTCTCTCTCTGGTCTCTCTCTCTGGTCTCTCTCTCTGGTCTCTCTCTCTGGTCTCTCTCTCTGGTCTCTCTCCCTCTGGTCTCTCTCCTCTGGTCTCTTTCTCTGGTATCTCTCTCTCTGGTCTCTCTCTCTCTGGTCTCTCTCTCTCTCTCTGGTCTCTCTCTCTCTCTGGTCTCTCTCTCTCTCTCTGGTCTCTCTCCCTCTGGTCTCTCTTTCTCTGGTCTCTCTCTCTCTGGTCTCTCTCTCTCTGGTCTCTCTCTCTCTCTCTCTGGTCTCTCTCCCTCTGGTCTCTCTCTCTCTGGTATCTCTCTCTCTGGTATCTCTCTCTCTGGTCTCTCTCTCTCTGGTCTCTCTCTCTCTCTCTGGTCTCTCCCTCTGGTCTCTCCCTCTGGTCTCTCCCTCTGGTCTCTCTCTCTGGTCTCTCTCTCTGGTCTCTCTCTCTGGTCTCTCTCTCTGGTCTCTCTCTCTCTCTGGTCTCTCTCTCTCTCTCTGGTCTCTCTCTCTCTCTCTGGTCTCTCCTTCTGGTCTCTCCCTCTGGTCTCTCCCTCTGGTCTCTCCCTCTGGTCTCTCCCTCTGGTCTCTCCCTCTGGTCTCTCCCTCTGGTCTCTCCCTCTGGTCTCTCTCTCTGGTCTCTCTCTCTGGTCTCTCTCTCTGGTCTCTCTCTCTCTGGTCTCTCTCCCTCTGGTCTCTTTCTCTGGTATCTCTCTCTCTGGTCTCTCTCTCTCTGGTCTCTCTCTCTCTCTCTGGTCTCTCTCTCTCTCTGGTCTCTCTCTCTCTCTCTGGTCTCTCTCTCTCTCTCTGGTCTCTCTCTCTCTCTCTCTCTGGTCTCTCTCTCTCTCTCTCTCTGCTCTCTCTCTCTCTCTCTGGTCTCTCTCTCTGGTCTCTGGTCTCTCCCTCTGGTCTCTCCCTCTGGTCTCTCCTCTGGTCTCTCCCTCTGGTCTCTCCCTCTGGTCTCTCCCTCTGGTCTCTCCCTCTGGTCTCTCCCTATGGTCTCTCCCTCTGGTCTCTCTCTCTCTCTCTCTCTGCTCTCTCTCTCTCTCTCTGGTCTCTCTCTCTGGTCTCTGGTCTCTCCCTCTGGTCTCTCCCTCTGGTCTCTCCCTCTGGTCTCTCCCTCTGGTCTCTCCCTCTGGTCTCTCCCTATGGTCTCTCCCTATGGTCTCTCTCTCTCTCTGGTCTCTCAGGTTAAATCACTCACATCCACTTTGAATGCAGGGTCCTCTGGGATCGGCAGCAGCAGGTCGTGCCATATCACTTCCTGGTTCTCATTGATGCGGGTCTTCGCTTCGTTTCTAAAAACGTTTCAAAAACAATAATAAAAAGTATGAAGTATATTGTGTAAATAAATGGAACAAATCTGACTGGGACGGATCATAGACGGGGAGATAACTTACTGGTCGAAAAACCGCATTACTTCTTCAACACTGCCCTCTACTGGCTGAATGTGACTCCCACTGGAACACACCGCACACTTGAGCTGAGAACACACACGCACACAGACACACACGCACACACACGCACACAGACACACACACACAGACCACACGCACACACACAAAAATACACATGCAGCGGTACATGCTTGTGAAAACTTGTAATTGTAGCTAAAAACTGTTTAGACATTCTTCTTTCAAGTTTTGTTGGTCTGAAGATTAAATACCACAGCTTTAAAAACACTGAGTTACTTTGTTACTTTACCTTACTTTAAGTAGCAATATGTAAGATTTTCATGTCAAGTCATAATTAAATGGCCCTAATCTGTCAAAGGGCCTTAGCAAAATATGTTCTTTCAATTACTTCTTTAACTGATAACAGTAGTTCAGAAATATTTGAATTAACGACAAAACAAAGAATAAAACCAGGATTTCTATCTTTGTGAAAAATTTGTTGGTTTATTTATTAAGATATTATGGTCCCAGCCGGATTCTGGAATCTGACAACCTGAGTCAGGGAGAGCGCAGTACCACTTTTGGCCAGATATTTACACCCTGCTCCTTTAAAAGACCTGTGCCCTTTATGTCCGCTCTCCTTATTCTACTGTCCCTTTACTGCACGATTGTGTTTGTTGTGTTATTGTGTCTATTGTGTTTACTTAGTGTGCACTTGTCCATATTACTATGGGTAATGATAAGAATTTTAAGGAATAGTATAAAGAATTTTGATACACGCCTTAAATCCATCTTTACTCTTAAAACATGTTTGTGCCTTGAGCCAAAGCAAATTCAGAGTTTGTGACTTCCTGTTACTCACAACAACAAATAAATCTGATTCTGAAACATACAAAGGTGTGGAGTGAGAGTTCTCCTGACGATGACAGAGTTGCGTTAGGAGTTTGTGGCTCACCTTCATGACCTTGGAGTAAGCGGCCATTTTCAAAGTCATACTCGTCCCGAAGGAGAGGCCCCACATCCCGATCCTGCTGCCCTCCACCTGAGGATGCTGCTCCAGGAACCTGTAGGCATTCTGGGAACGCAACACACTCTGGTGACCCTCAGACACGAGTCATCTGAACACTGACCATACTTTTGGACTAGACCAGTTTCTATCAGGCCCCAGAGTCCTCCTCAGTTTATTGAAAAGGTAAATAGAATAGTGGACCAATAGCTTTGATGATCCACCCGGAAGTAGAAAATCCTCTTATATACCTTTTAATAAAATGTCAATTCCTGCATTTTCCCGCACTTTTTGGGCCCTAAAAACATTTTGCCAAGTAACAGTAGACCAACAGATTTACTTTGTCGTTCACAGACACACACACCGATCTATTCAAAGGTTACAGGCGCTGTGAGAGAAAAAGCATTTGTAATTTGTATTTCTTTGTTACCAAGCAGATTAAATCAAGTTTAAAAGTCCTCACTTATGATATATTTCTGTAAATATGTATATGCTATGTACAACAGGGGCCTCAGGCAATTTGTGGCCCACAAAAGGGGCCCCCTAGTGGACATCAACATTTCATACATCATTTTAAAGCTAATTTTAACAAGAAAACAACCACACCATGGATATAACTATAAAAATTGAAAAATCAATCCAAGCAGCTGTACTTGTTCATAGCATTTTTTTTTTTATTGTTATCTAAACTCACATTCAAAAACAAATGAGCTAAAACTTAAACACTTGATGAGGCCAACAATTCTATGACATTCTTTTCTATCTTACTTTTAACCTTGTATTATTTATGGACCTGTCTGGTGCGGACCGGGGACTTTTGCAGATGTATTCCAATGTGGTTTTACTGCAAATGGCAAATAAAATGAATCTGAATCAGAGTTGAGTGTTTTATTGAGCGCTTTGATGTCATTGACCCTGGAGTTGACTGCGGTCCAAACTTTGGCCTCGTAATAAAACCACCGGTGAAGGATTCGTCCGTGAGATTACAACACAGCAGCGTTTCAAATCAAGGAGCTACGACTTTGAACATTGTCCGGACATAAGAAAAGCTCTTCTACCTCAAAGTAGTCGTTCTTCATGTATTTGCCAGTTTTGGTGGAGAGAGCGTTGGTGAGGTAGTCCAGAGCCAGCGAAGCAAAGCCGTGGGAGGCCAGCAACGACGAGCGATACTCCACCAGCTGCCCCCCGCCCCCCCACAGGTCCAGGATGGCAGGGAACGGACCAGGCCCTAGCACGATACACACAAGGTTACTCAAAACATCAGTAATAGACCTTTTCCAGTCCTTGAAATGGTCTGATCTGCCAAAACTGATCCCTGTCCTATGGCCTTGTCCTCAGCACAGAGAGGCCCTGTGTCTGGAGGAGGAATCAAACCCATGATCTTCTTGCTGAGAGGGTTAGGGTGAGAATAATACTGCTCTGAATGTAATTTTTGAGCCGTCGCCGTCAAGCCCTCAGTCCTCGTTCTACAGTCTGAGTCCTGGATCCACAGCCTGTCCGTGCGGAGGGAGCAGATCTCTTTGTCAATGTGGGCCTATCTGAGGATTCTCACTTTTTCCCACTGGGTTTGCTTTTTGTGGTTCTATGGCGAATGATGATCCGAGTGATTTATGAACATTTATGGACAGTGGACAATGTGTTTGTTATATGTGTTTAACTTTTGTAAAGTCCTCTGAGAAAACTGCTGTTGTCTGCTATAATTACGATACAAACAGTGTTGGGTAGAATACTTTGAAAATGTTTTCCGTTCCATAATACTGAACTCATGACCTAAAATGTATTTTGTGTAGTATTCCATTAGTTTTTACAAAGTAGTACCGGTACCTGTTTTCTGAATACTTGTATCTATACCTTTAATTATTATGATTTTTAATCTTTAATCTATTGTAAATACATACTTGTTGTTGATTTTGTAAAACAAGTCAAAGTGCTTCAACAGCTGCCACTTAACATCCAGAAACAGTAGAACATTTTCTTTTAACCTTAAAAACATAATGTGAGAAAATAAGTAGTAAACCAAATATCCAGCATTTTCTTTTCTTTGTCAGAACAGGGAGAGTGGGCGGCAAACGTGAAATTGGCATTTTCTGTTCAGTCGTTTGGTTTATTTTTATCGGTCCACTCCAAAATTCATTCATTCAATTTGAAATCATTTTTGGAGACTTTAGGCATTTGGCCAATTCCATTACTATTTGAAAACACATGAAAACTTGACTACTTTTATGGTTTAGGGACGTTTTCCCACAATATTTAAAACATGCATCTGGAAAAAATCACAGACTGCATCTTTAACCTCTCTGCACCTGTCACTCTGGATCAACATCTGACCTCCTCCTCAGTGTAAAGTGAAAAGCAAACGGACCTGGAGGGAGGAAGAGTGTTGCTGTGAGGTCGTAGTCTGTGACCGGGATCCTGCGGACTCCAGGGGCCATGTACCAGCGCTCCAGCAGCACCGAGCACAGGGCCTTGTGCTCGGGGAAGCCCTCAGACAGATGCCCCTGGAACACGGACACCGTCACCAGCATCGGAGTCTCCGCGCTCAGCTTTCGAAACCTGAGGTAATAATAAAGTCAGAGCATCACGTCTGCTGTTCACATAAACTTCACAGCGTCACATCTGCTGTTCACATTAACTTCACAGCGTCACGTCTGCTGTTCACATAAACTTCACAGCACCACGTCTGCTGTTCACAGCATCACGTCTGCTGTTCACATAAACTTCACAGCGTCACGTCTGCTGTTCACATAAACTTCACAGCGTCACGTCTGCTGTTCACATAAACTTCACAGCGTCACATCTGCTGTTCACATTAACTTCACAGCGTCACGTCTGCTGTTCACATTAACTTCACAGCACCACGTCTGCTGTTCACATAAACTTCACAGCACCACGTCTGCTGTTCACATAAACTTCAAAGCATCACGTCTGCTGTTCACATAAACTTCACAGCACCACGTCTGCTGTTCACATAAACTTCACAGCACCACGTCTGCTGTTCACATAAACTTCAAAGCATCACGTCTGCTGTTCACATAAACTTCAAAGCATCACGTCTGCTGTTCACATAAACTTCACAGCATCACTTCTGCTGTTCACATCAACTTCACAGCGTCACGTCTGCTGTTCACATCAACTTCACAGCGTCACGTCTGCTGTTCACATCAACTTCACAGCGTCACGTCTGCTGTTCACATAAACTTCACAGCGTCACGTCTGCTGTTCACATAAACTTCACAGCGTCACGTCTGCTGTTCACATTAACTTCACAGCGTCACGTCTGCTGTTCACATTAACTTCACAGCATCACGTCTGCTGTTCACATAAACTTCAAAGCATCACGTCTGCTGTTCACATAAACTTCACAGCGTCACGTCTGCTGTTCACAGCATCACGTCTGCTGTTCACATCAACTTCACAGCGTCACGTCTGCTGTTCACATTAACTTCACAGCACCACGTCTGCTGTTCCCATAAACTTCACAGCACCACGTCTGCTGTTCCCATAAACTTCACAGCGTCACGTCTGCTGTTCACATAAACTTCACAGCGCCACGTCTGAGGTTCACATAAACTTCACAGCACCACGTCTGCTGTTCCCATAAACTTCACAGCACCACGTCTGCTGTTCCCATAAACTTCACAGCGTCACGTCTGCTGTTCACATAAACTTCACAGCGCCACGTCTGAGGTTCACATAAACTTCACAGCGTCACGTCTGCTGTTCACATTAACTTCACAGCGTCACGTCTGCTGTTCACATTAACTTCACCCTCAAAACTCGTTGCACTTGTTATGGGTATAGTTATTTATTGTATTTTTATTGGGGGGCACAGTGGCTGAGTGGATAGCACTCTCGCTTCTCAGCAAGAAGGTCCTGGGTTCGAATCCTGGTCGGAACAGGGCCTTTCTGAGTGGAGCTTGCATGTTCTCCCCGTGTCTGCGTAGGTTTCCTCTGGGTGCTCCGGTTTCCCCTACCATTAAAACATGTACAATACGTATGAATGTAGATGAGAGTGAATGGATGGTGTTGATTCGGGGCTGATGCAACAGTGTGTTCGGCGACTCGCTTCTGTCATCACCGTGTGTGGAATGATTGGAACAATATCTGAACTCTGAACATTGTAAAGAGCTTTGGGTCACCTTGGTCTGTAAAATGCGCTATATAAATAAACATTAGTTACTTACATTGTTTTTATTTAATATTATTATCATTTTATTTTTATTTTTTTGGAATATATTACGAACTGCGAAGACACTAGATTTGACAACAAATTGATTGATTTTTTTTTTTATAGTTTTTCTGCAAGGGGATGTGGAGAACAAAAGTGTGATGGATGCCAACCAGTCCAAACATTTAAATATATTGAATCACTTGAATAAAACAAAAAACCAGTAACCATAGACTGTGTACAGATGGACAACGCTGACCTCAATGATAACAATATAATGATAATAATATTCATAATAGGACTGTCAAAATTATCGCGTTAACTCAAGTTAATAAATTTTTTTATTAACGCGTTATTATTTTTTTGACGCATTAACGCATGTCCGAATGACCCGCCCATTTATCCATAAGAATATCACTCAGAATGCTGCGTGTGAGATGGCCTCCTCCGTGGCCGCTCTGGTTGTTGTTAGCGGCTGTGAGTGAGTGCAAGCTTTGCACGGGCTGCAAGCATGGATCTAGCTATTATAATAACAGCAACAAGCGATTGCTCCGTTCACATACTCAGCGCTCTGCGCACTGTATTTTCCCTGGTTCTTGTCTGTCAGGCGCGCTCTGCGCACTGTATTCTCCCTGGTTCTTGACTGTCAGGCGTGGGTGTTGCTCGTGTGTGTCTTTGGGAACTAATTATTTTAAAATAGTCTCCTTCGATTGCAAGTTTTGCAATCTGTTTGTTTGATCAATGGATAAAAATAAATGCAATTTAATTAAACGGCACCTTGGCCTGTCTTATACCTGTTTGCCTGCAGGACAGTTCCCTAAACTAACATATCATACTAAAATAGGGTGGGGTTGTTGCAACAATTAATCTACTTAGAAGTTATCCTAAATTACAGCCAGCTAAAGCTCGGTACTAAGACAAACGAAAAAGTAACGCAATAGTTACTTTTACTGCTAACTAGTTACTTTTATAGTGGAGTAACTCAGTTAGTAAGTCAATTACTTTTTGGAAGAAGTAACTAGTAACTATAACTAATTACTTTTTCAAAGTAACTTACCCAACACTGGTAATTATATTTGATAATCTCATTTAACTTCAATTGGAGTGGATTTGAAACAGAATGTTAAACATGCGATTAATCGTGAGTTAACTCACCATTACTATGCGATTAATCAACTAAAAAAATTTAATCGTTTGACAGCCCTAATTCATAATAATTATAATTATAATGATAATGATATAATAGATGACAATGAAGCTCAATGAAGCCCAACAGGGAAGTACTTGTGATGAAGTTTTGCTCTAACTCGCTCTGGCTCCTATTGAAAACTAAACTCTCCTAGTTCAGTAAATGTTTGTGTCACACTCAGGAATTCTAGTTTAGCGCCCGCTGTGATCCTGGTGTTTATATTTTGATATTGTCTTTGTGAATCCAGATATGAGCAACAGATGTAAGGATGTATCCAGAATGATATAAGGATCAACCAATCAGATGCCTTCATTTACAGGGGAAACTCCAGCTTGGGTTCAAGATTCGAGAATTTATTTGCCATTTGCAGTAAAACCACATTGGAAAAACTGTGCGAGACCAGACAGCACACACCAGAGCTCTTACCACAGCACGCCATTTTTCCGGCGCCATGCGGGTTAGCAACTGTTTTAGCAACACGCCTACAGAATGCCCATACAGGTATAAGGAAATTCACAATGTTCAAATCAGCCTGTTCAGCATTGAGGCTAACACTACGGTGATATGCTAATATGCGGTCTATGCTCAAAATACACTGTTTTGGGTTTACTATACGTCAGCTGACCAATTGGATGCCTTCATTGCCTTCTTAGCGGCCATGTGAGCAATAACTCAACCCAAAGCACACTCCGTCGGAACAAATACTCATATAAAGAAATTGGCTCCAGCTAGCTTATGTTCAAATAGACTCTCCTCATACTCAGTCTATGGTAGTAACAGGGTCGTACCGCAGTCCTGGTTTGCTGCCCGGCACTGGCTTGAGGCTCCAGAGTAACCCCATTGGTTCCACTCCTTCATAGGACCCGCCCAGACTGGGGTCCTCACACACTGTCAATACAACAACAACATGTCAATGCTTTATTTAACACTAGGATTTGTACAATTATTAAAATACTTGAACTCCCAGGTCCGTTATTTTGACTGCTCTCATTCAAACCGACGGAACAAGAAATTCCTCCAAAGAATCAAACTGATCATTGTAACTGTAACTGAACTAAAGCAATAAAAAAGGTAATGCTAACTTCTGGCAGTAAATGGTGCGTTGCTATGGTAACATGCACTTGAGATTCTTTGGTGGAAAATAAGTTAAAGGTAGAACTCCTCACCTTTCAAAAGTAAAAGTAAACTCCATATAGAAAGTCACAAATTTTAAGACAATCAAACATGTACATACAGAATACCGAGTCATCATTACTCTTTCCAAACTAAAAGCCGTCATAATGACTGCTTTGACTGGGAGTGGTAAAGTCCCGGTGGCGCTCTTACAGTCCAGGGCGCCGGTGCTGTCGCAGGTGTAGTGCCCGAAGGCCTGCCAGTGGTGCTTGTTGTCTTCACTGGTAAGAAGAGAGTGGACCGTGAGCGCCGCACCAGGACCAGCGTTCTGGACCAGCACCGAAACCTTCTCATCCACCAGCGCTCGGGACGGGTGCACCGACAGCTTCACGCAGCCCGGTTTTAAGGCCATTTGTGCCAAAGATCTGCAAAGTGAGGTTAAAGATTGGTGCCCATACTTGCATACTAAGCCAGATCCTGTCAGACCACTGAAGCTAAGCAGAGTAGGGCTTGGTTAGAACTGTGATGGGAGACCTCTGGGAATGACTGCGACTGTAGAGTATCAAACTGTCATTGTGTTCTTAGGCAAGACACTTCACCCACATTGCCTAGAATAAGTCTGGTGTTGGTGGGAGGGGCACTAACTGGTGGCCTCGCTTCTGCCAGAGTGCCCCAGGGCAGGTGTAGCTCGAAGTTCATCACCACCAAAGTGAAAGTCCAAAAAAGCGCTATAAAGAACTATGCATCAAACCTTTTTAAATTGGCCTATTCTTAATACTTAACATTTTCTGTTCAATTCTATTCTGTATTTTTCATCTTGGTCGTGATGTTTTTAATCTGAAAAGACATTACAGATTAATGAAACTGACATCCGGAACAGTCTTCCTGAAAATGTGAGACCGGCTTCTACTCTGACAATGATCAAATCCAACACTAGGACTCCCACGATTATGAAAACAAAAAGCTGAACAATGACATGGGAATAAACTACTTATAAAAGACAAAAAGTCACGAAGTTATGAAGACCATAAATGTGCATGCACGTTACGTAATCACGCATACAAAACTAAATACAGTTGTGTAGCTGTGCATACAACAGAAGGATTGTATCTTCACTCATGATTTTAATGCTTTGTGTGGGCTTGTTTTGCACTTTGACTTGCTTTGTGCATGAACTGTGCTTTACAAATAAACTTGTCTTGCCTTACCTTGCCTGAGAGTCACTATTTGACGCTAGGGCCCGAGATCTGATTGGCTGAAAGGTCATCCACTTTCTCACTTTACGGTCTGAAAAACTGTTTACACGCATGCAAAAACGAATTGAGCAATCCGTTTTGGGAGCAAGGAACAGGGAGCGCACATGGATTGCATTAAATAGTTTCATTTTCGTGGATTTAAAAGTTAGGTAACCCAGCTTTAAGGGCAAAAAAAAAAACAACCCAGAACTTGCAAAACCTCAGCTCGGGGTAATGCATGGAAATCTGACCCAAAAAGACAAATTATATACACGACCGTAAAGTAGCTCTAACTGTCGCACGCATATCACAGACCCGAGACCTTTGGGCCTGTGTACTGGTTTTCAGCTGTATTGTCTGGTTTGAGTTCTGTCTCAAAAACTTTACTTACGGTGATAGATCTCCACGTAGCTGGAAGAAGGCTACGGTCGTAAGTAGCCGGCCAAGAGTGATGTTCTGCGGTGGGGAGGGTTCGAGACGCCTGGGTGAATGTGTAACTATTGCATTGCTCCCCGCCCTTGACAGGACAGTGCAGCCAGAGGACGCTAGAGGGAGCCAAAGCACACTGAAAACCCCAGCCACGTGCCATAAGACTGTAAATATCAACATATAGAAATTCTGAAAAAATATCCAAAAAACAGTTTTAGTTTTTCACTTGTTGTATTGAAATTATGTGATCATTACGTGGTTTATGATACATACTAAAACTGGTGAATACTAAAATGTAAATGTGAAACCGAAATGTAAATACTAAATGCTGTTGGTAAGGCAAGGCAAGTTTATTTATATAGCACAATTCATACACAAGGCAACTCAAAGTGCTGAACAAAACAAGAAAGCATTAAAATCATAAATATTCACAGAACATTAAAAAGAAAGATAAAAGTATAAAATCCCTCAGTTGTAGCACAGCTAAACAGAACTGTCTTTAACCTGGTTTTAAACATTGTCAGAGAGGAGGCCTGTCTCACATCTTCAGGAAGACTGTTCCAGATTTTAGCAGCATGAATCTGAAAAGCAGCCTCCCCATGTTTAGTCCTGACTCTGGGCACTAACAGGAGTCCAGTCCCTGTGCTCCTCAGAGTCCGGGCTGGTTCATATGGTACTAACATGTCTCTAATATATTTTAGTGCGAGGCCATGGAGAGACTTGTAACAAGCAGAGCTGTTTTAAAGTCTATTCTCTGAGCCACAGGAAGCCAGTGCAGAGACCTGAGGACTGGACTAATATGGTCGTACTTCCTGGTTCTAGTCAGGACTCGAGCTGCTGCATTTTGAATGTACTGCAGCTGTTTTACAGCCTGTTTGGACAGACCTGTGAGCAGGCCATTGCAGTAGTCTAACCTACTGGAGACAAATGCATGGATAAGAATCTCCAGGTCTGCTTTAGACACTATGTTTTTGATCCTGGCAATGTTTTTTAGATGGTAAAAAGCTGCTGATGTTACTGATTTGATGTGGCTATTAAAATTTAAGTCTGAGTCCAGTATTACCCCTAGATTTCTGACCTTGTTTGAAGGTTTTAGGGAGAGAGACTGTAGGTGACAGATGACGCTCTCTCTTTGTTTCTGGGGACCAAAGACAATCATTTCAGTTTTGTCTGCGTTTAGCTGAAGGAAGTTGTTTTGCATCCACTCACTGATCTGTTGGATACAGTGAAGGAGTGAGTCCACTGGTCCATGTTCTCCTGCAGTCAGTGAGACATAGATCTGAGTGTCGTCTGCATAGTTGTGATAGGACACTTTGTTTCTGCGTATTAACTGACCTAACGGCAGCATGTAGAGATTGAACAGAAGAGGTCCCAGGATCGACCCCTGTGGTACTCCACAGGTCAGGGCCATATGATCTGAGACACAGTTTCCAATCTCCACAAAGTACTTCCTGTCTTCAAGGTAAGACCTAAACCAACTTAAGCCTGGTTCACACGAGACGATTTTAAAATTGTCGGCCGATTTTTCTCCGTGTTAGACCCCACACGGGGAGATTAAAAATCCTGCGTCTAACCACTTTGGTCGTGCAGTGTGTGGTGCGTAGCCACACGACAAGATCACGCAAGCCACAAACATCACACCCCCCCCCCCCCCCCCCCCCCCGAGCATTCCCAGGTCAGACGGAAATCTCACAAAATCTCTCGAGATCAAGCGGGACTTCAGAGTAAACAGTCATGGCGGAGGATGCATTGGCGATAGTGTGCAGTTTGTTGTTAACAGAGAAGAGACGTAATCCAAAGAAAAGGCAATGGTCAAAGCCATGCTGCTGTGTTTTGGTTTTTTTCCGGTGTTTCCTCACCGGCTTGTCATCTCGTCTTCTTATTGGCTACACGCCGTAGTCATGGCAACGCGCTCGCTTGTCCTCGGAGGACACCACACACGACCAGAAATCGGGCCAAAACAATCCAACATGTTGGATATCCCCGATTTGAGATCGGGAGCAGTCCCGATGTCCTTCCGAGCGACGAGTGCAGTCTTAACACACCACACACGGCAGGATAATCTGTAAGATTTTGTTACGGAAATCGGAGCGTTTCTTAAGATTGTCGTAAGGGGTAAATCGGGTCTAAATCGGCCTAAATATCCTGCCTGTGAACCAGGCTTTAGGGCAGTGCCAGCGACTCCAACCCAGTCCTCTAGTCTCTGTAAAGCCTGGTTCACACGGCAGGATATTTAGGCCGATTTAGACCCGATTTACCCCTTACGACAATCTTAAGAAACGCTCCGATTTCCGTAACAAAATCTTACAGATTATCCTGCCGTGTGTGGTGTGTTAAGACTGCACTCGTCGCTCGGAAGGACATCGGGACTGCTCCCGATCTCAAATCGGGGATATCCAACATGTTGGATTGTTTTGGCCCGATTTCTTGTCGTGTGTGGTGTCCTCCGAGGACAAGCGAGCGCGTTGCCATGACTACGGCGTGTAGCCAATAAGAAGATGAGGTGACAAGCCGGTGAGGAAACACCGGAAAAAACCAAAACACAGCAGCATGGCTTTGACCATTGCCTTTTCTTTGGATTACGTCTCTTCTCTGTTAACAACAAACTGCACACTATCGCCAATGCATCCTCTTCGTCCGCCATGACTGTTTACTCTGAAGTCACGCTTGATCTCGAGAGATTTTGTGAGATTTCCGTCTGACCTGGGAATGCTCGTGTGATGTTTGTGGCTTGCGTGATCTTGCCGTGTGGCTACGCACCACACACTGCACGACCAAAGTGGTTAGACGCAGGATTTTTAATCTCCCCGTGTGGGGTCTAACACGGAGAAAAAACAGCCGACAATTGTAAAATCGTCTCGTGTGAACCAGGCTTAAGAGGATCTCATGGTCGACAGTGTCAAAGGCAGCACTTAGATCTAACAAGATTAGGATTGAGACTTTGCCTGCGTCAGTGTTCAGCCGGATATCGTTTGTAACCTTAACGAGAGCAGTCTCTGCACAAAACTGCAAGGGTGTTGCAGGGTGTTGCTATGGTAACTAGCACTTGCTCCATGCTGAGATTTCTCTGAACCAGTCCCGAGATCAGTCTAGGATCGAGATTACATAAACATAATTACATAGGTATAAACTACATATAGAAACAGTAAAAAGTATCTACATCAACAGATAGATATGTATAGTAAGGCAGGGCAAGTATATTTGTATAGCACAATTCTACACAAGGCAAGTGCTGAAAAAAACAATACGCAATCACACAAGATTGCGGCACGGTGGCTGAGTGGATAGAGCTCTCGCCTCTCAGCAAGAAGGTCCTGGGTTCGAATCCCGGTTGGACCAGGGCCTTTCTGAGTGGAGTTTGCATGTTCTCCCCGTGTCCGCGTAGGTTTCCTCCGGGTGCTCCGGTTTCTCCTACCACTAAAAATATGTACAATAGGTCTGGCATGTGCCTCCTGTACTGGCGACCCTGCTACAAAAATAACAATTGTAAACCGCTTTGAGACTTCGATGTGCAGTGAAAAGGCGGTATATAAATAAAGATTACTTACTACTTACTTACAAGGCATTAAAATCAAAAGAAGATAAAACCCCTCAGTTGTATGTTCTGCTAAACAGAACTGTTTCTAACCTGGATTTGAAAATTGTCACAGTAGAAGCCTCGTCTCACATTTTCAGGAAGACTGTTCCAGATTTAGCGTAAAGTCACATATCTGGCTGGATAATAAGTAGCGACACGGAGGCTGAGCGGATAGCACTCTCGCCTCTCAGCAAGAAGGTCTTGGGTTCGAATCCCAGTCGTAACGGGTCTTTCTGAGTGGAGTTTGCATGTTCTCCCCGTGCCTGCGTAGGTTTCCTCCGAGTACTCCGGTTTCCCCTACCACTAAAAACATGCACACTAGGTTAAATCCTCCAGCTCCGGTGGTCCAGACCAAGCCGAGTATCAACATCTGGAGATGGGTCCCGGACGCTGTACCACGGTGACCACTGCTCCTGACGGGGGGAGGGTCAAATGCAGAGGATGAATTGTCCTACAGGGATCAATAAAGTGCACCTTTAGATAAAGTGACATCAGTGGAACTTCTGGAAAATGTCAGTGAAAGTTAATCAGGTAACGTCCCACACCTACCACTTATCCACGGCCACTCTGGCTCCTCCTCATGTCTTACTCCAAAACTTTTATAGAATCTCTTTTTTTAACAACATCAAAAGAATGCAATGACGAGGTGCAGTTTACAGCAGTATTAACAAGGGGCCGAGGAACCTGTTTCTGTTTTTAACTCGGTTTAGACCGTGGTCCCTGTTTGTTGCAGGGTTACTTTCAGATATTTTTTGTTGTTGTACTTTTTATGTTGTTCAGCGTCAGAGCAGATCAGTAAAATGCTGGATCTCCTTTTATTAAGGTCCAGGTCTTAGTATAGTGTTTGTTTCCTCTCCAGCAGAGGGAAATATTTCATTATTGTTGCTGAATGGAATAATAAGAATGGAAATGATTAATTGGTCCCTCAACGCAATTGATTCTATCTTTTCAACACGTAAGCGTGGGTCTGGAGAGCCCGTGTGTCCGGACGGGACTTCACCAGCGGGGTATACTCTTGACAGCTGGAACAAGTTTCAGCCCCTCTGTCTGTCGACCCTGTCCATTGAAGATTCGGAAGACGTATATATCTTTGGCATTTTGGTGGCGGGAATCCTCCTGTTTGGGTTTGGAGCGATCCTCTTCTACCACAAATTCGGAGGCATGGCAGTTCGCAAGATTCACGACCTGCTGGCCGATAAAATTGATGGGATGTACAAGGAGCTTAGCCGTGTCGTGGTTGAGAGTGCCGTGTCTGGACAAAGAAGGGTGGTTTTGGTGGAACAGTTGATCAAAGACCTCGCAGCTCGTTCACTTGATGGACATAAGACTTTGGAATTGAGATTGAATGACATTGTTTGTCAGGCTTGATCTCTCTGACCCCGGCTTGGATTTGCCCCTGTGTACGGAGGTCTGAGGGCACCGGAATTCGGTTTAATTGGAATTAATAGAATATCTGCCTGCTTTTGACTGCGACATTGCAGGCGATGTGTTTTTCTCCTCCTGTGGCTTCTCTCCACTCTTATCTCACATTCCTCAGCCAAGGCCATAAACAAGGTCCCACAATCTACAACAACTCACACTATTTCAGTCTTCAGCAAGGATCCCCCACCCCCGCCTCCCTCTACCTATCCATCTTGCTCCCTCCCTCCCCTCCATTCCTTATTGTTTTCCTACTCACCCCCTCCCTGATCCCGCCCCCCTCTGACAGCTACATTGGGCCGGCCGAAGAGGTGCTCTTCCCGAGAAAAAAATCCGTGGTTTATAAAAAGCACAATGTGTCTATCCAATTGTCTGTGAACTGTATGTTTATTGCTCTCTGCTGTTTCTTGCTGCACACAGCGCCGCAAATGGCGAAGTGGCACGCTCTCTGCCAAAACAATTTCCAAGTGATAACTTTGTTACTCACGTGGCAATAAAAATGATTCTGATTCTGATTCTGATTCTGGGGTTTGTGTCAGAGCAGGCAGCTGAATGAAATTGGTTGAAAGGTAAAAGGTAAGGTTAGGTTGCCTTCTGCGGGACCAAATACCAAGATTTTCAGAAATATTAAAAGTTAGAATCTCAGAGCTTCTTGTGCCACTTCAGTTACAGTTACAGCTTGAACATGAAATCCTCTTCCTTTGATGCACACAGTTTATATCATTTAAAAATGTGACTGGCACGAGAAATAAACCGATGCACTCAAACGCCAAAGAAGTACAGTACTCTCTGCTCTTACGTATTTTTACTAATTTTACCGTATTAAAATTAAATGCGGTAGGAGTTTATAAGATTTGGGATTCTTCATCCTACTTCTGTTCTTCTTTTCATGGAATGTATTACTGTTGTATCTGCTGGATTATTGTAATATTAATACAATTATATCGATTATACCGATTCCACCTGCAGGTGGATCACTGACTTCCTGACGGACAGGAAGCAGTAAGTGCGTCTGGGGAAGAATGTCTCGGACTCTGGGATTATAAATACAGGAGCCTCACAGGGCTGTGTTCTTTCTCCCCTGCTCTTCTCCCTGTACACCAACCACTGCACCTCCAGCCACGACTCCGTGAAGCCACGACACCAACAACTATGAGTCTGCCTACAGGAGGGAGGTGGACCGGCTGGTGTCCTGGTGCAGTGGTAACAACCTGGAGCTGAACGCCCAGAAGACAGTAGAAATGATTGTGGACTTCAGGAAGAGCTCTGTCCCCCCGCCCCCACCCTCCGTGATGGACTCCCCCATCACCTCTGTGAAGTCCTTCTGTTTCCTGGGCACCACCATCACCCAGGACCTCAAGTGGGAGCCGACCATCACCTCCCTCATCAAGAAGGCCCAGCAGAGGATGTACTTCCTGCGGCAGCTCAGGAAAGCTGCCTGTTCTACATGGCCATCATCGAGTCCATCCTCACCTCATCCATCACCGCGTGGTTCGCTGGAGCCACAGTCGGGGACAAGCTGCCCCTCAGGCAGGAGACTACGGTCCATCAGGACCAAAACCTCCCGCCACAAGAACAGTTTCTTCCCCTCTGCTGTTGGACGCTTTATTAAACACTCATAACCTGTCCCCCGCCCTTTATAAGTTACTGCCCGCCATCATAACGTCACTTTACTGTTGTCACCTTAGTGCACTGCTTACCACATATTGTGTGCACAATGTGCACTTGTATATTGTATATTATAATTGTAATTGTAATAATTCTATTTCAAATGTTATTCCTTAGAAGTGTTGCTGATTTTTATTTTGCCTTACTCTGTTCTCTGTTCTTTACCTCTCTTTTCTGACTGTTGCACTGAGCCAAAGCAATTTCCAAGTCTGTGACTTCCTGTTATTTACATGGCAATAAAAAGGATTCTGATTCTGATCATATTTTGTTGAATTACCATGAAAACAATAAACAAAAATAAAAGAATAAAACCAGTGAAATCTGATTGGCTATGTTACATTGGTTACTGTTTTTGCCTGTATTATGTTTCCGCTGCCTTCTCCTCTACAGCACTTTGCAAACTAATGTGTTTATAAAAAAGTGCTATATAAATAAACTGGATTTTGTGTCTGCTAATACCATTATCTCTTATAACGCGGTGACATCACTTACAGCCTCACACGACACTGCATTGTCTTGGGCGTTGGGCTGGTGTTTCTGGGAGGTTATTAGACACATCTGAACGCACAATAACAAAGTGCTGTGGTCTGCTGTCAGCTCCCATCTGTCCCCGAGAGGCCCCTAACCCAAAAGGCACTCACCAAACACATCACATTATCTCTATGTCTGTTCAAGGGACTTAAAGTAACTAATTAGCCAAACGAATGTAGAGTTAATGGGCCGAGGGGTGGATTAAGAAGTATATAATCTTTATTTATGTTATGCATTGTTATGCATTGTACAGGACAAGGTCACACAAAGCCCCTGATCATCACCATCACATGCAGAACTATTGTACATGATTTTAGTGGTGGGGGAAACCGGAGCACCTGGAGGAAACCTACACAGACACAGGGACAATAAAGTGTAAATATACTGTCAAATAGGAGCTGGGGACTTATACAGGCGCTGGATTGGATGTGTGTGTGTGTGTTTACATGTGTGTGTTTGTGTGTGTGTGCGTATGAGTCCGTGTACGTGTGTGCGTTCATGTATCTATGTGTATTTCAATTTGGAGAGACGAGAAAACAGGAAGTTTTGAGTATTTTATTGAAAGGAGGTTTGGCGCCCTAGGTCCCGGTGCGGCCTTCAGATCGGAAAGGCTCCTGCGATGGAGCGCACACAATCCCCCGGGACCTAGGCACTGGTGGCGGCATTTGGCAGCGGGAAGCAGATTGAAGGCAGATTGGAGGCAGGGTGAAGAGGAGGAGGAGGGGAGGCGGTGGTTGCAAGGCTTCAGAGGCCGAGAGTGGGAGTTTCTCCGTTTTTATGCGGCTGGCGAGTCGGTACAGATGATTGGAAGGGGGCGTCTGCTGAGCGATAGGCTGGGGATGCGAGCCGGCCTGGAGGGGGTAATTTTGGTTAACGTCTACCAAATTGAATTTTCGCTGGCTGCATTTCAATTTGGAGAGACGAGAAAACAGGAAGTTTTGAGTATTTTATTGAAAGGAGGTTTGGCGCCCTAGGTCCCGGTGCGGCCTTCAGATCGGAAAGGCTCCTGCGATGGAGCGCGCACAATCCCCAAAAAGGCTGCGTGTTGATGGAGTTTTCGATGCCTGGTTTGGAGGGGACAGACGTCGTGACTACTCTATTCTGTGACCGCTATCGCTATGCTGTGACCGCTATCGCTATGCTGTGACCGCTATCGCTATGCTGTGACCGCTATCGCTATATGCTGTGACCGCTATCGCTATATGCTGTGACCGCTATCGCTATATGCTGTGACCGCTATCGCTATATGCTGTGACCGCCAGCGCAATGCTGCTAACCATTTTTTGCTATATGCTGTGACCGCTAACCATTTTTTGCTATGCTGTGACCGCTATCGCTATATGCTGTGACCGCTATCGCTATATGCTGTGACCGCTATCTACTGTGATCAGTACTTGCGGATACTCGGCTGCTGCCGCCACCAGGAAGTTTTGTGAGTGATTTATGGAGATGCCAAGAGGCGCTGGGCTGTCAGAATGGTCGAAGTGTCAGGCCTGATGTATGAGGAGAGGGCCGATGATGACCAGCGGCCCAGCTGCTGGAGGGCAGAATGGGGGAGTCCTAGGGACGCGGCGCGCGTGGCGGCGCCTATCCGGAAGGAGTGAGCTGTGTAGAGATGGGGAGACAGGTTACAAAGCAGCAGTACGGACTTTAGTTGGGCCCTGAACCAGTTAGATGTCATTGGGAGGTGATCGGGGGTGAGAAATAACGGTCCGTTGAGATCTCCTTTCCGAGAGCGGAGGCGAGTGTAATGCATCATGGATCTGTAGGGACAGGGAGAAGTGGCAGACCGAGCTATGACTATATTGCAAGGGCCTTTGCGTTTGGAATGCTTGAGGTGGAGGTTGAAGTAGTCGGGATAATATGACAGGTCAGAGAAGGCAATGTCTCGGGATGCATTTAAAGGTGGCGTGAGAGTTTGTGAATTCGCTTATGCGTAAGAAGCCCATTTTCATGTAGGATGCAGTGGAGGAGAGAAGGTGAAGAGACGGAGGGACTAGGCCGGGGCGAGGGATTCCGTGCAGGGGATCTGGCTTGGCGATGGATTGGCAGAAGGGCAGAGGCGTCAGAACTCCTGGAATTTAAAGCGAGAGAGAGAGTCAGCAATACAGTTAGGTGACGAGAGACGTGACGAACAGTGATGATAAATTGTTCGAGACTGAGAGCCATGTGATGCATCTAAGGAGGATGTGATTTGGGGAGAGGATGAACGACCTCTGTTAATTATTTCAATGACGTCGAGGTTGTCGCACGTCACGGAAATCCTTTTCCTATGCCACGTATGGTTCCGCAGCACGCAGGCTATGGTCACGGGATATATCTCGTGGAGCGCGGAGGAGATGCTTCGAGGGAAAGCGTCGGGCCGGGGCCCGGCAAACCACTGGTCCTGGAAAAAAACCCAAAACCCACGGACGAGGCTGCGTCCGTGAAGAACCGCGGGGCATCTGAGACAGGATGATGTCACTGTAAAAAAAAAGAGATACACCATCCCAGCGGCTCTGCAGACGGGACCGGAACGCCAGGTCGGAGCGGCGCCCCGCGTCCGGGCAGACAGCGTCATCGAGGGAGGAGACGGAGCCGGCGAGGGAGAGGAGTCTGGAATTAAAAGAACGACCTTGGGGAATGATACGGACGGCATAATGAAGATGCCCGAGGAGGGAGAGCAAGGACGCCTCGAAGTGACGGGAAGGCCAAGGCAGACCGGGAGAAAGCGCGGATGCGTTCGAGCTTGTCCAGCGGGAGGGAGGCCTCCATGGCGCGTGTGTCGAGGCGGATGCCGAGAAACTCCAGAGCGTTGGCGGGGCCTGTGAGAGAAGGGCGCTGGAGGGAAGGGGCTGTTGATGCTTGGGCGGGCCCGGAGCGGGGACAGGAGAGGACGAGTATGAGACGCTTCTTCCTGGAGTGCTTGCGGGTGGTGATGCCCATCGGGTTAGAGCGAGACGGAGAGAAGGGGCCAATGACGTAGCCCACGGACACCTCCCGCGCCCGAGCCGCGTGCCGACTTGGGGCTCACGGAGAGCCGGGAAGAGGTTGCGGGACACGAGACGCCGAGGGACCTAAACAGAGCCTGCAGTCTAATTTGAGGGATTTAAATAGAGCTTGCAGTCCAAAGTGAGGTATTAAAACTGAGCCCGCAGTCCAAGTGAGGCGTTTAACGGAGAGCCTGCAGTCCGGTGCGAGGGAGTTAAACGACCTGTAGTCCGAGGTGAGGGATTAAACTGAGAGCTTGTAGTCCAGAGTGAGGGATTCAACATTGCCCGCAGTCCTAAAAGAGGGATTTATAACTGAGAGCTTGAAGTCCAAGTGAGGGATTAAACCGAGAGCTGCAGTCCAGTGTGAGGGATTTAAACAGGTTTTACGGTCCAAGTGAGGGATTAACTGAACCCGCAGTCCAAGTGAGGAGTTTAAACTGAAAGCTTACAGTCCAGTGTGAGGGATCCAACAGAGCCTGCAGTTTTTTATTTTTTTATTTATTTATTTATATTTATTTATATTTATTTATATTTATTCATATTTATGTTTATTTATATTTATTTATATTTATTTATTTTTATATATAAGCGTTCCAGATATAAGCAGTACCATATATGCAGTTCCAATATGAGCAGTTCCATATAAGCAGTTCCGTATACAAGCCGTTCCATATATAAGCAGTTCCATATATAGCAGTTCCATATATAGCAGTTCCATATATAGCAGTTCCATATATAGCAGTTCCATATATAAGCAGTTCCGCATGAAGCAGTTCCAGGTACGGTATAACAGCTCCAGATATAAGCAGTTCCAGATATAAGCAGTTCCGTGAGGGATTAACCTGAGAGCTCGCAGTCCAAGTGAGGGATTCAATTTGGGAGCCGCAGTCCAGAGGGATTTAAACGGGGCTTGCAGTCCAAAGAGAGGGATTTAAACAGAGCTCGCAGTCCAGAGAGGGATTTAAAGAGAGCCTGCAGGCCAAAGTGAGGGATTAAAACTGAGAGCACGCAGTCCAATGTGAGGGATTAAACTGAGGTCTTGCAGTCCAATGTGAGGAATAAACGGAGCTTGCAGTCAGAGTGAAGGATTTAAACGGAGCTTGGTTAAGAGAGCCTGCAGAACAATGCAAGGGCTTTAAACTGAAGCTTGCCCACCAATGCACGGGGCCAACTGAGCCTGCAGTACAAAGCGCGGGGCGAACTGAGCCTGCAGTACAATGCGAGGGGAATAAACCGTCCGCATACTTACCCACAACGCCAGAAGACAAGGGACAACACAACGGGACCACGCCGTACCGGCACGAGGAGGCAGGGATGCGCACAGCTCCCACCGCACCGGTCCAGACCGGCCGTATGCAGCAGCAGGCCGCAACGAGATAACCTGGCAAGAGCCAGATTGATGATTGTATAGAACTCTAACGCGTTCTCCGCAATATCAATCTGGGATTTCTCACGGAGAATCCTTTCGGGGAAAGGAGGGATAAGCAGCAGAATACTTGAAGCTGATTGGGAAGTGACGCTGTGTGCCCGCCTACCAAGGTTTGACTTACGTAGGTAAAAATGCACAAACATCTTTGCCGTCCAGAAATGCACAAAGCGCCTCTCGCTGTTCATCTTTCAAAAAAGAAATTGGAGATTCTGCTAAAACTGACTTGATAGCCTCAGCTACGCGTCCGTCCTCCTGCGTAGCCATGTTTGTTTTGCTTCGGCCCGGCACTTCTTGCTTTCGTCAAACCCGGATATCCCGCCCTAAACCCCCAGACTGGCGCGTGATTGGCTCGCACACCCAGTGGTTCGACTCGAAAAGTGTAAGCGGGAGCGGTACAAGATGTATTCTCGAGTGTTTGTGAACTCACAAATACCGCGAGAATTCAGCTTGCAGGCAAGGTTAGTGACGAGACGAGCAGCGGCGAACCCGCAGAAAGAGCCCGCAAAGGAGGAGAGCGGCAAAGACCCACGGACCACAGCACGAGACCCGCAGCAGGTGCAGCGATGCGGAGGAGGAGCAGACCACACGCAGCAAGACAGAGGACAGCAGGGACCGCAGGAGTAAGC